TTATGCTTGACCATACTGGCATCTTTCCTGCAAAGAAGATAAAATGACTGCTAACATCCTTACTGTTGTGAGAGGAAATAAAAGGAGTCCATTAAATGTATCTCACAATATCATGCATTATAAAATAACATGACTAAATACATAGAGAAATATTATAAAACGGTAGAATTCCACTCGAGATAACTCATTGCTGGTCTGCCTTGTTTTTGCCACTCATTTTGTCATGATAAAATGATACGTATGTCTGAATATTCATTATTGGGTGATTCTTTACTTTTTTTTTTGTCACATTTAAGAAGGGACAGACCTCTCTGTAAACATACTGTAAGTCAATGATACTTTCACATATTCTCATTGCGAAAATATCGGCCTGAGCCATTTTCCGAGAGCAGTTATTCAGCTACTGAATCGAGAGCAAAACTATTCAGTGTTGATTTCAGCCAATATTTTGGAAAGAAAAATGTGTTCAAATGAGGGCTGCTTTTATCAGGGCCTATGATTGAAATTATGTACTGCATTTGTGTTAAAATCCAACCTTTTCACATTTATTTTTGTACCATCTATATTTGGATTAATTCATAAATATTGTGTTTATTTAATTTCTTTGTTTCATTTATGCACAAACATTTTTAGAATAAAGTGTCATTCAAATCCATTTCTCCTTTCATTTTTTGTTTTCACCTGACATCCAATTTTAATTTTAACGTTTAAACTTTTTTTTGTTAAGATTGGGAGGTACTCCAAGATTCTCTAGATTTAAAACATTTATCACAATTTTAAACTTTTAGATTTGACATTTATGTGAAAATTTGGTCATATTGATATTCTTAATTCATATTGATGCATTTACACATTTTAGATGATAAAACGTACTCGGTTACTAACGTAACTTCGGTTCTCGCTAGGAGAGGGACCGAGTACTGCGTGATATCTTACGCTTGGGGAAAACCTCTTTTCCACGAGATATTGAAGCCAAAAATTATTCTTAATTTTGAATTAATTTAAAATGCATTGCGGCAGCATGCAAGGTGGCTCGCGTGCCTATTGGCTGTCCTGCTGCAGCCTATCGAGAGAGGCTCTTGGTGACGTCATATCCAATGGAGGCGCTTCACTCCTGGGTCTATAAATAGCTCGATGGGCTGATATAATCTGGTTTTTCATTGCCAGAGCGAACCAGAGCGTTTTGCAGGCACAGCAAAAATACGCAGTACTCGTTCCTAGAGAGAACCGAGGTTATGTTAGTAACCGAGTCTGTTCTCTTACGAGAGGTTCTCTCGTACTGCGTAATATCTTACGCTAGGGGAACACAGTGTAAAACTCTGTGTGTGCTGGGATCCAACACCAAAGTCCTAAGCGCAGGTGCCCAGGGCTCATATACTACATAATCACCAAGGAGTCACAAAGAGTCTGAGAAGAGAGGCTAGAAGCGTCATTACCAATAAGTTATTGCCCTAAGGGAGCTAATCACATCAACAGTGTTCCACACAGTCAGGGTGAAAATGTTCGGCCTTAACTGGGTAACGGTATGGGTCCTACTTTTGATCAGCAAGCATTGCTCAAGCGGTTGTAGTATTCTGAGCCGAAGCAACGGGGCAGACAATACTGATTTTTAGACCAAAAGTAGTTTATCCATCTGGATAGGCTCTGTTTCGATGCGGCTAGTCCCATGGCACGTCCGCTGAATTAAACAGAGAGCTGCTCAGTCTGTCTGAAAACAGACGAGTGAGACACATAAGACTGGGCAAAGGAAGCTTGTGTCCTTTTCCTCGTTGTAAACCGGCAGGGCAGACAGGGAAATAATCTGAGCCCTGAACAGTGTAGTACCTTTTATTCGGAAACAAAACAACGCCTCAGCGCGTTGTCGACTGCCAACATTTCTAGACAGTTTTGTGTAGGAGCTTCTCCCATTCTGACCTCTGGCCAAAGAACGGTCTTCCCTTGAGCAGCGTTCCCCATCCTGAGGTGGAGGCATCCGTGGACACCACCTTCACACTAGAGGAAGTCCCAAGGTTTATACCTGACTGGTACCAGTCGATTACTCTCCAAAGTTTCAGAGATGTGATGCATTTCAGATCGACCTTGAGGAGAAACAGACCGGAGGCCCTTGCCTGAGGTGGTACTCGGACATTTAGACATAACTGCAGCGGGCCCATGTGAAGTAGACCCAACTGGAGTACTGATGATGCCTAGCATTCCATGAGTCCTAGCATTTTCTGAAACCTTTTGCGGGACTATAGTGCCGCTGCGGAAGGATTTCGTGATGAGCTGAATGTTCAGTCTGCGCTCTGGCGACAGTCGCGAGCTGTCATAGACAGCGAGTTCAGTTCTGTGCCCAGAAAAGATATCCTGTGACTGGGAGACAACAAATGTTTCGCCCAATTGACTTTGAGATCTAGTTTCTCGATGGTCCTGTGTTTTATGAGCTCTGGGTTTTATCGAGCTAGAATCAGCCAATCGTCCAAGTAGTTAAAAATTTGCATGCCCCGAAGTTTCAGAGGTGCGTGAGCCACGTCCATGCACATTGCAAATGTACGGGGTGCTAGGGACAGGCCGAATGGTAGGACAGTGTATTGATATGCCTGTGGGAGTTTCGGTGGAAGTCTGGCCGCGCCGAGACTTAAACACCATCATTTCCTAGGAGGGAAGAGCGCTTTGGTAAGAAGTGCTTCATAGCCTGTGACGTCTTCTGAACCTCAGCAAATCTATCCGCAAAATCTTTGACGGAGGATCCAAAGAGGCCAGCTGGGGAGATGGGCACGTCATGGAATGCGCAAGTTCGGAACACTCCGAGTCTGACATCTCAGATAAGGTCAGCCATAGGTGTCTCTTAGCAAGGGTGAGAGAAGCCATGTTCCGGCCAATGGCCTGTGCAGCGGATTTCGTTCTGTGAAGTGCCAGATCTGTAGCGCTCCTCAAATCCAGCATGCTGATAGCTTCCGGTCCTTTCTTATCCAGTTTCCAGAGAAGGTCGGCTTGGAAGAACTGTGCGCGCTCCGCCCACTCAAGGCCGAGGTTCACCACAGCCTGTGAGAGCAGACGCATCAGCTCAGATTCGACACTGGCCCGTTTCACTGACAACTCGCGGGTTGGGGGGGTAGGTCCACAGAGCTCGCCCAATCCTCACTGTCCGACGCCCGGATACAGCAGCTGGCATCCTCTACAGATGCAGCTATCTTGTCGTCATAACTGGAGGAAGTGGTGACAGACGGCGGCCGTTGTCCGTTCCGAGTGAAGCTGGTGAAGCTGACGGGCGAACCGGCAAGATTTCGCAGGCTGGAGAAGCCTCGGGACCCGCTGAGTATGGCGCTTTTTACAGCGCAACAATATAACAAGCGGTGCAGACTCCAAGAAAAATGCCAGGTGAGTCACCAGAGTCACCATGGGCAATAGCTCGCAATGATGGCAGCCACGGTCAGCGAACATGTGAGCCACAAGAACGAGGCTTCTTTTAAAAGACGCTGCTCTTTTATATAGAGAGAGTGGGAGTCAAAGGGATATAAACGGATATAAAGAGTAAAAAGGATATAAACGCTGGAAAACGTAGCAGGTACAGCGACTGAAGGAGGCGAGAAGAAGGGCTGCGACTTCAGATGGAAAGGCTCGTCCCGCAGAAAGCTTTTCTCAGACGGTGTGGCTTCTTCCCTTCACGGATCCAGCGATGCGTGAGCTTCGCTGAAGAGATAAAAAATTTGATTATATCAGCCCATCGAGCTATATTTCTAGGCCCAGGCCCACGACCGTTTTGGTGGGAGGTGACTTAATGTTAGATCCCATTGGATCTAACATAACCAAGGGCCTCTCTCGATAGGTTACTGTAGTTGCTGCAGGACAGCCAATAGGCATGTGAGCACAGTAAAAACAGTACTGTAAAATATGATGCCTTTACGTGCTGACGGAATTATCATAAGTATTAGTTTCCTAATTTAAATTTTTTTACATGAACCCCCTCAAGTCTAAATTGGAATGTGATGAGCTCGTAAGTACGACATCAGGAGTGGGAAGTATAACTTCCAACACCAGGTGAAAGCAGCATTAGTCAGTGTCACATGATCCTTCAGAAATTAATAAGTGCTTTATTATTATAGATGTTGAAAAAAGTTGTGCTGCTTAATATTTTTGTAGAAACTGTTATTAATCTCAAAATAACCACATTTTCTTTAAATAGTTTTTTTTTTACTTTGAAAGTCACTTTTGATCAATTACACCTAAATGTATCCTTGCTGAATAAAAATATGATTATTATTTTTTCTTTAACTTACCAAAAACTGTTTATCAGTAAAGTACATTTTAAAATGTCTGAATCATTTTCATCAATTAATCAATTGTACGTTTGCAGCTGCAAGCAGGCAGCAACATGTCTGTGCTGTATATTGATGCTGCCCCCTTCAGCAATGCAATTCTGCAATCCCCTTCATGCCCAGCGGAGGGCCACTGCATTCCAGACAAAACATGTCGATCCGTGCCACAAATCCACAGCAGATCCATATCTCAACTAGTTTGATCCCTATAGGAGTAATGCCTCTCTATTTCAGATCTGTTATTCAAAATCACCAATGAAACTGTATGCAGTGAGATTTAAATAAAGGGTGCTAATTGGAAGCATGAATAATTTTGAATAAAATGTAATATCCCATACCATTTAGTCTAAATTAAATAAACACTTCAGTAAACAAATTATTGGGTAAATTTCTGTAGAGATGCAATATTACATACTATCCACCAATGTCAATGATGGCACATGCATTAAATTAATGAAATTATGTTAAATAGCCAACCAAAAACCAATTGACATTACAGTCTGTGAACATGCAACTGTCAACTTTTCTTTTGCTCCCAGTTGTTCACACCCCCTACCGCCTAAAAAGGCAAGAGAGAGTGCAACTGGTAAACCCTACACTGTCTAAGAATAAACCAGGCTTGCAATGGATAAGGTTACCTTGAAGCACTCCAGCACTTTTCCCGTCCCACACCCATGTGAGGCAACAAATAACATGGGCTAAATTATCATCCCCCTGCCTGAGCCTGAACTCCCCTGTTTACGTCCCTGATCTAACATCCCATTTTCCCACAGCCATGATCCCAAATCCGGCACTTTGAAAACCCTCATCCCACTTTTCTCACAAGATTGTGAGGTTTCACCCCAGGATTGGATGGGGACGACAAAGAGGAACATCATTCAATGAGTTGGATTTAATATCAACTGGGTGAAACCGGCAAAATAAGATTACCCAAGCAAAATCAAAGGACATTCAGCCGAAGAACCACCATAACTACACCATGGCGCAGGCATCTAAAGGTACTGCAGTTTTTGTACGCATTATTTCTTGCATTAGAATGACAGACAGAGCTTAACAAATGAAAATACACAAAATAAATATTATAATATTTCAGAATAATAAAATACTGAACCACAATAAATGCTGTTGTGATGATATAAAATTGAACTAACAGCTTAGTTGATCTTAATGTTTTGATTTTAATCTGTTGAAACAAATATGCTGTGGCATTTACTGTAGTGTAGCCAGAACATTTTCAAGACTAATACAGAGAAGTCTATAATTAACTCAAATGTTTTAATATCCTTTGAAGTGTGTAGATTTATTTAGATGTATGAACTAAGGTTAAGGTTAAAAAAATAAGGTTTTACATTTATAGTTATCATTTTTATGAAGAAATTAATATAATCTATTCAGCAAGGATGGTCAGTGACACTAAGGACTTATTTAATACCATACAATATTTCTGTTTCAAATAAATGCTGCTTTTTTCAAACTTTCTATTTAAAAATCCTAAAAAAAAAACACATTCATAACATGATTCCACAAAAAAAATTAAGCTGCACTGTTCGCAAAATTGATAATAATACCAATAAGTTTCTTGAGCAGAAAATTAGCATATTAGCATGATTTCTGAAGGGCTCTTGTGACACTAAGGTGTGGATCATGACGCTGAAAGAACAGTCATTTAATAATAATATTTCACAATATTATGATTTTATTGTATTTTTTGATTAAATGAATACAGCCTGGTTAGCGTGAAGATTTCAAAAATCATACTGACCCCAAACTTTTGAACTTAGTGTGTCATATTTTGATGAATCTAGCAAACATAATTGATATTTGCAATGACAATTACAATATAAAGACTTTTGATTTCGATAGTTTCTTTGTTTAGTTCATGATGTCACTAAACTCAAGCAGCAGGGAGAAAATAACACAAGATGGAGAAGTGTCTAGACTGCACTTAAGAGAACAGCTGCTACAATTATCAGTCCGTCATCATGATGGATCAGTATTTATATAGAAATGAAAAACGGCCTAGACATAGGCTAGTCAATAGAATAGATAGGTGCATTTAGCAAGCAGCCAAGAAACATTTTCTCCTGTGACCTTCAGGAGAAGTATTTCCACATTTGCTATCATGGTATATGTGTGAAATTCATGTGACTCCAGGTCCAGTAAAGTCCTCCCCTCCAACTGCTGAAGATGCTCCAGCTAGGGCATTGCATCCAGCCGCTTTAACGGCCCGGAGCCATGGAGTTTTACGAATCATGAATCACCCGGCACAATGGGTTGTCATCCTCACACTTCTGACCTCTTGGACAATAGCAGGTGTTGTCATGTTCGACTTTGTCAGTGACGATCAGATTGCAAGTGAGTTTTAAATAATTTTCACAGTTCTTATTTTATTTACTTGTGCTGGTTTTTGATTTGTTGGCCTCAATCTAAATGTTTTCCTCTATAGGCATCCAGGATTTTGGTTCTGACCCAGTGCTAGCAGTGAACAAGGCCATTGAAGGCATTGGAAACAAGATAGACCACATGAATGATATGTTTAATGATGCTCATGGTATGATTTGAACTCTTTTAGTAGCTTTCAGATTTTAAAATTTGGTAATTTGTTACTGAAGGAATAGTGTCTATTACTTAGTGCAATTACAATGGCTAAAGCATTCAGTCCTCAACAAAAGGTGCAAAACATTTAAAGCTCATCATACAAGTAGTCTGAATGACTAGCATGCTATATTTAAAGTTTTCTAAAGAATGTAGCTTTGTGTGTAAAACAGGCCGTCATTATTCAAACGAGCATCAGATCAATGGGATTCGCGAAAGATTCAGACCGTTTCAACCGATTCGCTACTCAAAAGAATGATTCATTCACGAAGCGGCCTTGGGCCTTGTCGCGAAATGAAGCGGAAGCCAGAGAATAATGATTTTGATTTTGATCTCTTCCTCACACAAGAATATCATTTTGGCTTGAAATATAACGCGGGAGTCCAGGACTTTTTATTTTTTATACTTTTATGATGGTTGTTTGAAAGTCAGTTTCATTATAATTGCAGGCGAACGTGTAAACTTGTTTTGTGGAAGAAAACAATCTGGTTTTGAAGACATGAGGTGAGCGTTAGATAATTGATAATTTTGACTAAGCCAATCCTTTGATAAATATTATTTGTTCATGTTTTTAAAAATTGATTTTTAATGCCATTCGCTCTTCTCTTATATTTGGAATACAGAGTACATCACCGAAATAGTATTCAATCCGAAGAAAGCTATTAATTTAGCGGCTGATTCAACTGTTTCTTATCTGACAGGAATATTTACTGCCGACGGTATGTAATGTATTCATTTATGGCTTTGAAAAAATATCCATAAGCAGTTTAAAACACTATTTATTTAGCATAGGCTTATGTTATTTATATAATATGTTGTTTACAGGAGATACAGTAATCACCGAAACAGTGAAATATAGTGGCACTGTATTGGATGAGGTTACAGAATGGATCAGATCGCCAGTGGGCTACTTATTTCACTTATTTGAAGGTAACTTTACTTGCATTACTGATCATGCAATATGTGCCCGACCAAAAAATATTATGGTAAAAATTATTTGTTATATTTGAGCTTGCCAGATGCACCATTCATTGTCTGTCTAATGCTTTCCATGCTGTATAGACATCCTGGATATATTGCTTGCTCCAGTGAATATGGTCAGTCGAGCTGTTGTGCAAATTTTAAGTTGGATCAAGACCATTACACAGTATCTTTCAACCATGTTCGGGGGCACTGAAGGTATTGCAAAGCATCAACATTGATTCTTCTCATAATTTTATATAGCCTAATCCTATTCACTCATATCTATATCATTAGGTGCATCTTGTCAATATTCCAGTGTGAATTCCCAAAATAAGCACTGATCCTCAGCATTTGGTCGGATTGCTTAAAAAAAAACATTCAGACTTTATTATTATTATTTTCAGGGGATACCGGCATCACTGAAACAGTGAAATTTGGTGGCACTGTTTTGGATGAGGTTACAGAATGGATCAGATCCCCAGTGGGTTACTTATTCCACTTTTTTGAAGGTACCTACATTGTTGTTGTTGTTGTTCTGAGGGCTGACATGCAATCAAAACCTTATATGATTATGATTTCAGTACATGTTTCAATCAACATTTGAAATTGCCACTGTTTCCATGCATAAAGAAATAATTTGTCATATTTGAGCGTTTCAATGAACCATGATTTCAGCTGCTCATGCCAGACTGATTTCTGTTTAATGCTTTTTATGCTGCATAGACGTCCTGGGTGTGGTGATCATCTATCCAACAGACATGGCGACTGAAGCAGTTCTGCAAGTTTTAAGTTGGAACAGGACCATTTTTTCAACCATATTCAGAAATCTTGAAGGTATTTTCACATTATTTTAGACATTTAGTGATATAATCTACTCTGCTGTTTGAAGGTTTGGGGTCAGTAAGATATTTAAAAAAAAAATTGTGAAAGTGAAATCACAATCAACCGCCCCTTTAAAAGAAGGGGAGTGATTTTCTTCATTGTATGGTGATTGTGTCCACACACTGCAAAGACACATTTAAATGCAAACATATAAACCATATAAAAGTGAATTTTGCATCTGATGACCCCTTTAAAATATACATAAAATTGTAAATTAAAATTGTAATAATATTTTGCAATATTGCAGTTTTTACTGTATTAAAAAAATAAATGAATACAGTCTTGGTGAAAATAAAAAAAAAAACTCTTTCTGACCCCAAACATTTGAACGGTAGTGCACCTTGTCAATATTTCAGCTTGGTTTCCCAAACTGAGCACTGATCCGACGGAACTGGCTGGAATTGTTGTAAAGGAGGCCACAGACCTAAAGATTACTGTCTCTAATTACCTCTCCAGTTTCTTTGCAGGGGACGAAGGTATTGTTCATTTATCAGCTCAAAACATTTGATCTGTGTTTTTCGCCAACACAATTTTTATTTGTGTCATATTATGTCTTTTTCCCAGGTGGTATTTCTGACATTAGCTTTGATCCCATGAAAGTTGTCACAGACACTGTTGAGGAGTTTACAGACAGGAGGGATGTATTGCTGGCCTACCTCTCAAACATGCTCATGGAAGATAAAGGTATCCATATTATTAAGTATATCACAATTCTATGCTTGTATCTAAAAGATACATTTCTCTTTAAATATCCATATTGTTCTCTGTTTCAGATGAAGCACCACAAGTAATAAGACGAAAAGGTTAGTGTCAGTATTATGAAACGTTGGCGTCTCTATTCCATCTGTTCTGTTGAAACATAAAGTTGCATGTTGCATTACAAGGTTTCTTTGCTTTGACAATGGGTGAGTTCCCAGATGTCAATAAGACTTGCTGTTTAAAATAATAATTGTGTGTGTGTGTGTGTGTGTGTGTGTGTGTGTGTGTATATATATATATATATATATATATATATATAAATAATAATAATTTTTTTTTTTTTAAACAAACAATATTTTTTAAATCTTCTCCAGGAGAATTTCTGCCACCTATGGAAAAAGGTTAGTAACTCCACATTCTTTCATTTACATAAAAGCTATAGATTAACACCGAAACTAACTTAAGTACTAAAACAGAATTGAAAAACTTAATAAACAAGACTTTTAACTTGGAAAGGAACGAGAGCATGTGAAAAGGGTTTTTTTATGTAACCTATGCAAGATCTTGATTTGACTAAAATGATAAAGTTATCCTGACTCGTCGTCATCCCATCTACATTCATCTTTATGCCGAGTTTTGTTGTGTCTTACCATGTCTTACCGTCCATTTATTAGAGCATTTAGAAAACAGTGTTATAAACGTTATGTAATATGGCGCATGCAAAGGTCCTGCATGACTGCATACAGGGATGATTGTCATTTATATGTTCTGTCTGTACTATAGTCTGAATGTTAATGTCCTGCCCTCTCTCTTACACAGTACTTCATATTATGTATTTTATATTATGAAAAAGTGCTTGCATTTACTTTCTCGAGAATGTTTTAAAAGGATGTGCATGACATCTTTACCAAATACAAAAATAAAAAGTTGTGTCACATGCATTTCTGTTTGATTTCCTGCTCCCTTCTTGCGGTGTAGTGCGACGTCTAACCTTCTGTGATACATTTGTCAGTTGATATTCACAAACATAAAGCATGTAGGAGTTCTTACCACCACAGGTATGGCACATGTTGCAAGAATATTGTGACACTCACAATATTAATGCCCTGAGATTTTAAGCTGAGGTTGTAGAAAGAAATGAGGTTGTAGAAGTCACGTTCGATAAAAGCATCTAAAAAATGCTTTTTCAAAATATTAAAAATAGTCACAAAATAGAAGTAATGAGTTTTGAAGAAAAGGCTAAAAATGGTTCAACTGAAGTTTTTTGTCAGGGTGCAACATGTGCATACGATCACGGTCATCAATGTGATGTAGTGAGTGTAACCAAGTTTCCAATCGGAACTACCTGTCTCGTACGTAAATTGCTAAATTTTTATCTGCAAATTGAGCTCCATTCTGTCATAAACCTGAATTGAAAAATGACTTCATGAAACAGTTGCAGAAATACTAGGCAAAAAACAGGACCCTGCCTATGCTGCCTACATTGCTATGAGATCCGCGGTGAAGGAGACGGACAGCACTAAACAGGAAATAAAAGAAGTTGAGGAGGAACATGGTGAGGTGGAAGCTGCTGAAGATAAAACTGAAAAAGCTCAAGCTATCTTGGATGTAACCGAGGAGGAAGAAACGGCTGAGGACCACACTGATATCACAGTAGAACGCGCTGAAATGTCCTCCGATGTCACGGAGGAGGGAAAAACTACTGGAGCAGTTGAAGATATTGCAGATGTTACAGACGAGAAACCTCCTTATATGCCAGATGTCATAGATGTGGAAACACAATCGGAAAAAATTGAAGATATTTCTGATTTTGCTGCGGGTGAATCAAACGAAATTACCTCTGATGCTTTAGATGTAAAGGACCGTGACATTAACTCAGATGTTGTTACAGTGGAGGAAGAATTTACTGGAACGGTTGAAGAGATTGGAGATGTTACAGACGAGAAACCTTCTGATATGCCAGATGTCATAGATGAGGAAACAGCAACTGAAAAGATTGAAGATATCTCTGATTTTGCAGAGGATGAATCAACTGAAATTAGCTCTGATGCTACAGATGTGAAAGACCTTGATGATACCACAGATGTGAAAGACCTTGGCGATACCTCAGATGTTGCAGATCTGAAAGACCTTGATGATACCTCAGATGTTGTTACAGTGGATGAAGAATTTAGTGAAACTGTTGAAGAGATTGGAGATGTTACAGACATGGAACCTTCTTATATCCCAGATGTCATAGATGAGGAAACAGCCCCTGAAAATATTAAAGATATCTCTGATTTTGCAGAGGATGAATCAACTGAAATAACCTCTGATGCTACAAATGTGACTAAAGACATTGATGATTCCTCAGATAATGCAGTTACAGAGGAGAAAGAAACCACTGAAGAACCAGCAATGGTTAAAGATGCTTCTGATTTCATAGATGAGGAAGAAGAACCCGAAACAGTTGAAGAAGTCATCATTATCACAGATGAAAAAGAGGTACAAGAAGATCAGCCACCTGAATTGACTGAAGCTACTCCAGAGACCATAAGTTTGAAGGAAAAGGAGGAAACGGCAGAACTTGATGATCATGACAAAGTCAAAAAGAAGGTTGGTTTAGAAGTGGAAGCCAAGGAGGATGATGCTGAAAAGAGTACAAAGGACCTAGAGAATGAGGTAGATAAAGATGAGGTTGAGGTTTTAAAGGGTGAGGTTGAAGAGTTTGATCAAACTATCATTGCTGGTCAAGATGACCATGTTGACGAAGAGGAGCTTGTCCTTCTTACTGTCCAACACGGTGTCACTGACAGAGATGATGAAAATAACAATAACAACGACAGGAAGAGAGATGTCAGAAAAAGAGGCCTGAGCAGGAGAAGAAAATCTGAAAGTCATTCCATTGCAACAGACGACCAAGAAGCACACAAGGATCTTCATGAAGAGTCTGACAAAGGTAGCGAACATTTTTTTTTTATAATTAACAAGTTGGAAAAAGTGATAGTTGATAGGTGGCAACCAATATCTCAATAGATGGCCTTAAAAACTCATTTTAAATCATTTACCATGAGAAAATTAATCCATAAAATAAACAGGATGTTCAAAATTGAGTTTGTTTAAAAATCATTGTTAGCTGATAAATAAATAAAATTAATAAAATATCCTAATTTATAAATATGCCTTCCTATTCCTCTTATAACTGCACCCTAAAATAATTGACCAACTGCAGTTGTATAAATTACGTGATATTTAAAGGAGTAGGCTAGTTTACCCAGAAATGAAAATTCATCCTCACCCTCAAGTTGTTCCAAACCTGTATGAATTAATTTATCCTGCTGAACACAAAGGAAGATAATTTGAAGAATGTCGGTAACCAGACAGTTGACGGTAGCAATTGACTTGCATAGGATTTTTTCCCCCCATAAAATGAACGAGGCCCATCTACTGTTTGGTTACCCATATCCTTCAAAATATCTACTTTTGTGTTCAGTAGAAAAAAGAAACTCATACAGGTTTGGAACAAATTGACTGTGAGTAGCCTAAATCATGACATGAGTCATGAGTTTTCAGTCGTGTGAACTATCCTTTTAAGATAATGGGAAAGTCATCAAAAGAACCATATTTACAATAGTTCTGGTCCAATAATTTGACTGGTCAAGCATTGTTTGAATTCTGTTTCACATCATTGTAACTTAACTATTTTTTGGCCATACAAATTACAACATAGGTTTCCATAATGAATCTAAACATATGAATTACTGTACTCTATATTAACTTCTTTTTTTCTTCAACACAACAGTTGCAATATGTCTATTTTGCAGGGATATTCAGTGCAATTGCACTCTCCAGACTTTGATATTGCATATATTCTGAAAAACACTGTATTCAACCTGCTGGAGGATTCACTAACAGGCTCTGTTGTTATGGATGGATGGATGGATGGATGGATAGAAGGATAGATCAAATTATTAGGAAAAATGAAAACCATACAAAACCCTTTTTTTTTTTGCACTGATTTGTAAAAAATTACAGTCTTGTTTATTAAAGTTCACCCAAAAATGAAAATGAAGTCATTATAATGACACCCTCATGTTGTTCCAAGCCCGTAAGACAACACAGTTTTGAGATATTTTAGATTTAGTCCGAGAGTTTTCTGTCTTTCTTTTGAAAATGTGTACAGTATACTGTCCTTGTCTAGAAAGAAAATAAAGACATCATCAAAGTAGTTCAAAGTAGTTGAAATTTTCATTTTTGGGTGAGCTAACCCTTCAAATATTGTGTTGAATATATTTTTGTATTAAAGTTGATTAAAGCTCAATAATGCAACTGTAACAAAAAATACTTCATATAATTATTGCAAAGCCGTTTATTTTGCTTACCTAAATGGTTCCATTAAGAGAAATAATGATTTAACTCATCCATTATATTTATTTAATTTAGCCATCTAACGCAATAACATGGCTGACAACCACTTTGCTGCTTTCAAGTACTATTAATGTTGACACACTTACAGTGCACTAATTCATGCACTAATTCTCATTGATCATTAATGATTTGGATGTTAAAAACATGTAACTCTCATTTAACATTTACTCGTGATTTCAGTTCTTGAACAAGTAAAAGAAGCCAAAGAGAAAAAAGCTAGAGAGGAGATATACAAAATCATTCAAGGTGAATGGTTTGTTGTTTTCTTCAGTGCTTGCACACTGTAAAATATAGTGCTTGTGCAGAATGAAAACTGCAATTTTTGAGAAAACGCTGACGCATTATCTTTTCTCTTTTATTCCAGATTTGAGGGAAAAAAAGGGTGAAAGTGAAGAGAAAGAGATAACACTACAACAAATAAACATAACAGTAGAAAAAGTCAGGAAAAAAGAAAAAGAACTTGAGAAAAAGGAGATAGACAAGGTTAAAAGAAAACAAAAATCCAAAGTGGACAAGACTCAAGAACCAACAAGTAAGACTGATAAAACATATTTAAATTATCCATTTCACTTCTCATATGTACAAAGCTCATCCACATCCACATCTAGATTGTACACAAAGTCTAGATTTTGCTACGATCAAGATGTACTCCAATAGAGTTGCTTTTTATTGATTAGATGTAAAACCCTGCACCTGATCAAAAGATGATGTACTTGAACTATGTATATTATGTGTTATAGAAAAGGACATCAAGAAAAAAATTGTCAAAAAGGTCAAGGTGACTAAAGTGGATGAGGAACCCCCTCTAAAAAAGAAAAAATCAGGTACATAAATGATTTACTAACCAGTAGAACCAGTAGAATGTCTGAGGGTTTATGTAATGTTGAAAAAAAACCCCAAAAAACTATATATTGCAGCTATAATATTTTCAATATTTGAACTTTTTTATATAATTATAGGATGTATTGTTGCAGTAATTTTTATAGGGAGTGTCATGGATCATTTAATGTCACATATAAGGCCAATTCACCTTTGGCTAAGCCACGCCCTATAATGTACATTGACCAATCACAGCACAGCCAAGAACGAGCTCCCACAGAGGTCAGACACTTTTTCACAGCGCTCCATTGACTTTCAACACAGGCGTCTCATATTTTTGGTCTCGGCAAAGTGATGCCAGTGTTCAGTTTAGAAAACTGACTTTTTTTAAAGGGGACATATCATGCAAAATTCACTTTTTTAGCCCTAAATGCATTTTGTTGTATATTTGGAGTTTGTATAAGTACAGAAAAGTTGAAATTATTCTCTTCAGGTGCTTCGTTTATATCTTTATATTCTGTTTTGGTCATATTTTGCAACCTGTTCCGATTTTTCTGTTCTCTATGTACCCTTTAATAATATAATTATTTTCCACTTCTGTTTTTGTCTTTTGAAGAGGTTGAAGTTGGGAAGGAGAAACCTAAACCACACCCTGAAAAGAAAGGTATTTTCCAGTCTGAAGTATATTCACGTCTTTTAGATTATAGTGATAAACTCTATTAGTGATAAACTATTACAAAAGGAATCATTAACCAGAAATGAGTTGTATGGTATACATTTATGATTATTTTATAGTATTTTGTTTTTAATATGTCAGAAAGATTAGCTTTGACATTTTGCATAACATCATTTTGTGTCAACGAATAAAGTAAATAATATAGGACTGAATCATGATTAAATATTCATTTTTAGGGGAACTATAATGCTTTAAGCAATCACTGTTAGTTATGTGTATTGATGGTGTGTTGATGATTGTTTGCTCAGACATCAGTATAACATTTCACTTTTTCTTTCAAAAACTAAAGATATCAAGGAAAAGGCAAAAGCAGCTCCTAAAGAAAAGGGTATGCTTGTCATGTAAAAATCAATCAGTTTATCATTTATAATTAAAAATATTTATTTTGAATTAGAAATTAAACATATTTTGTCTGTATAGTTGCTGAGGCTGTCAAGGAAAAGGCTAAGCCAGTAATGAAAGGTATTTTTTTTTTGTATTGTATGTATTTATATGTTACCATATATAATGTTTTGCTTAAATGAACAGCTTGTTTCACATGCTTCACAGAACCTAAGGTTACTAAAGAAACTGTCAAGACCGCACCTTCAAAGAAAGGTAACAACCTTGCATGTTCTTTTGTAAACATTTTTGGCTGAAATGTGTCCTTTAAGGGTTAGAGATCCTTTTCTGTATAACTTTGGGGTTGTTGAGCATGCTGTAACTTTCCTCACCTTACCTATGCTTATTCAATTTTAAAGTCCATGTGGGCTACATGGATGATAAAGACAAGTACATTGACATTCCAAAAGTACATTCCAAAAGAAAAGTACATTTCTCTAGTAATACATTTTCATTGAATTCATTTCATTGAATTCATTGAGACATATTGTCTTATTTCATATTACAGCTACAGTTCCTGAGGAAAAAGCTAAACCTGTGAAGAAAGGTGTGTTTCTAATTCATTTTTTTTCTGTTTCTCATTGAGTATTTTCTTGATATCAGTTTTATTGCATGATATAACATGTCATTCAGTACTGCAGCCTGAATTCGCAAAAACAAAACTGTTAAAGCAAAAAGTGTGGTTATTTTTATTTAGCTTTGAAAAATTGTTATATAATTGTTGAAAATAATAGTTGAAATTGTTGATATATATATATATATATATATACTGTATATATTCGCTTCTAGGAGCTCCCGTTGCTGTAGAAGAAGTAAAACCAGCTCCCAAAAAGAAAGGTATGACATTCCAAAGACAATAGATGGCATTCAAAACAAATGCAGTGTTTTTTAATGTGGCATATACTGCTGATCTTGATGCCAGAGTTTTCCAAAGAGAAGGTCAAACCAGAGCCATCGAAAAAAGGTAAAAAGACTAAGGCAAAGCCTATTTTTTGAGAAGTATTTCATTCTCAATCTCATTTCATCACACACCTCTTACTTTCTTCATACTGTAGAGCCTGAGCTTTCAAAACCCGAATCATCAAAGAAAAGTAGTGCTTTTGCAATGTGTAGAAAAATTGCAGCAATCTTTTTTTTTTTTTTCATTTATTTACGTAGTTTCATATTTATTTCATTCAGATACTGCAGAAGTGAAAGAAAAAGCAGTGCCAGCTCAGGTTAAAAAAGGTATTCATGCTCTTATGTAATTAATTATTGTATTATCTACTATTTCAACTAACATTTGATTTTGAAGAGAACAAGAACTTAATGTATTGATAACCTTTAGCAGCTGAAGAGAAAGAAAAAACTGTCCTTATGAAAAAAGGTATGACTCCTGCTTTTAAAATTTTTTATATTGATAATAGAGATTTTTGTACACATGTACGTGTCTATGGTATAATGTGTTGTTTCAGATTGTTCCTACAGCCCTGCTCTTTCGTATATTGATTCACACAAAAATATTATCTATTGTTTTTGTTGAAATGTCGCTGTACATCTATGAAAGAATTATGGATTCACAAAGAATGAAAAGCATTGTTTCTGAATGGAAGTTGAAGTGAAAAATGGTTTAAACTTTCTGTTTCAAAAGTAAAGCTGAGACAATTGGTTTATATTTACTTTGTTGCTGTCGATATTTACTTCTCAGAAAGATGTACTTTTTATTTTTATGAATTTTTTAATAATAATATTTTCTGGTGTTTCCTACAGGTGCTGAAAAAACTGAAGACAAAGTAAAACCAGCACCAGAAAAGAAAGGTGATTGATTTTAGATAACTGTGAATTAAAGCTGTGGTCTTCTGAATTCAAATCTTAAAGGCAGGGTAGGCAGTTTGTTTCTACGACACTTTTCCCAAATTAGTTTTTTCGCCAAATTTGTGGCTTTATATACCAATACATATCTAAAATGTAAGTACTCTGAAAAGGAGAGTACTCTGAGCGTTCATGTGTTTTGGGGGTTCATAAGGGAGGTGTTGGGAGTTTCTCTGTTGGATACTTTCAAAATCCAGCAGTTTTCTGCTAGTTTCTCAAACTTATCTACCCAGCCTTTAACAAAACTTAAGTTTCACAGGAACAATACACATCAGCAAGTTTAAATACTAAACCAGAACTTTTGAAGAAAGGTATGATGCACTTACAGTAACACAGCATTTCATTTAAAAGTTTTTTTTTTGTGACATTAACTGAGCCTGCAGACTCATTTTCAGAGCCTGTTGTTTCTGAGGAGAAAGAAAAGCCACCTACTACCAAGAAAGGTAATATGGAAAGACCGATTTTTACTTTATTTCATATATTGTATATAAAAATTAAATTTATTAAATATACACCTGTTATTTTCCTTTCTTAAATTTAAGGATGCTTAACCTTTAGTTTCCCTTGAATTGCAGAGCCTGCTGTTGCAGATGAGAAAGTCAAACCGGTACCTTTAAAGAAAGGTAAAAACACTTAAATATTGCTCAGAGGCTAAATATCCTGAAGATATTATTACTTTACTTTCTAAGGCATGTAATTATAATAATTTAAGCCCCAGACATCAGCCCCAGTTAAGAAAGGTGCAGTTTGATTTTGTTGAAATTGTACTTTTTTCTCCCAATGTTTATATGATGCTAACTGCTGACATCCACTGATATACAGAGCCTGAGGTTTCCAAAGAAAAATCTATGCAAGAGCCTTCAAAGAAAGGTAAAATGAATGCAGTTGGTTTTATCGTTCAACATGTATATTATAAAATGGTTGTCATATCAGAAAAATTATTGAATCTTGCACAGAGGTTGAAGCTGTTGAAGAGAAGGTAAAACCAACACCTGCTAAAAAAGGTACAGTACCCTGTATTTAAGAACCAATGTTTTTTCCAGCAACACTTTTCTTAAATCTCTTATATATAATGCATTATAAAAGTATTTTTAATGCATTCATTATTCCTTATAATGCACATTGTAATGTATTGTAGCCACTGTTCTTCTTCAGTCGGTCAGTCGACGCCGCGTTGAGACCAACGAATAGGAATATCACTAGAGAGGCCAATCTACTTAGAGTGAAACTAAATGAGCCAATGCACATTGGCGTGCAATCATTTGTATCAGCTGTTTAGCCATGCAGCGCGGGTATATAATGAACAACGCGATTGCATCGCGTTAAAGAAAAAAATGCTCTCATTGGTTTGTTTAGATGCTTAAGATATTACAAAGGCAACACCTGCTCTTCTAAAGAAAGTTACTGATATTCCTTAGGTAGTTTAAATTCCTTAAAAGTGTAATTTACAAAGTATAATATATGTTTTAATTATACAAATAATAATATAATATTAGTTTAAATGTAAAATGTGCCCTAATTTTATGGGGGGTAATGGTAAAACATCCTGATTGTGTAATAAATTCCACAATACCATTGATTTTCTAAAATATATTTCTTTATTTATGCAAGTTCTTTTGAGAAAAACACTTTATGTTTCTGAATATTTTACATTACTTAAGCACGCACATTAGCTCTTCAACCTGTTGTTGCGGTTGAAAAGGCAACAAAAAGGCATTTTTTTTCCAAACACGTTTCTGAGCCTGAAGCTGCTGTAAAGACATCTATGTATTTGCTCTACTATTTCACAAGATTAAAACTGAAATGTAATTCTGTTTATCGAGACCAAAAATACCAAAAAGAAAGCTAAGCCAGAACATACTAAGAAAGGTATTACATTAGTATGCAGTATATGCTTTGTTACATTTAGTAAACATTTAAAAAATAAATACTTGACAACATGCATGCATATGTCATATTCCAAGATTTTTTATGTTTAAAAAAAAATCACATATTTAGCAGAACCGCAAATGTAGACGCAAATGTATAGTGATGACGTATTAGTAAAGTAAATTATTAAAATTTTAGGTACTGTTCAAGGCAAGCTAATGTCTTCTACTCAGTTTTAAGATAATTTTAAGATATTTTGCTTTCTTAATGTTTTCATCATCACATTGTAGCGGATAAAGTCAACAAGGAGAAAGCTAAACCAGCCCCTGAGAAAAAAGGTTTGATTCACAGCATTAATAATCATGCTTCAGTAAACCATTTAAAGTATTAAAAACATTTCTCGTCATTGGCATTTCAGAGTCTAAAATCATGAAGGAGAAAGATAAACCAGTTCCTGCAAAGAAAGGTAGGCCAATGTGTATTAATCAACATTTTCCTCATGCAAAATGAAAGAAAATGATTACAAAAAGAATATATATCCCTTTCATTTTTATATTATCATCGTTGCAGAGGCTGAAGTCATCAAAGAGGTTAAACCAGCCCCTGAGAAGAAAGGTTTTCATATTTTTAATCATTATTTTAGCTTAATGTGTGCTTTCATGTTGTTTTAAATATCAAGTTAAAGAAATTAGCCAAGGACATTGAAACGCAATGCTAAAGCATAATTGCCATTTCAGATGCTGAAGTCATTAAGGAGAAAACAACTCCTGTAAAGAAAGGTATGGATGACAATAAAATCATCCTGCATGTATGCTGTCACTTTTCGCTGTATAATAATCCTTAATGACATAAATAAAAACTATTTTATAGAGATTGAAGTTACTAAAGAAAAGGCACCAAAACCCAAAAGAGGTGAGTTCTTAAATATTTAAAATAATTTACCAAACACTTTACATATTTTATCAGCAGTTATTTTAATTATTCCACAGAGAGACTTTATCCTTCTATTTCAGAATTTGAAGATGTATTGAAGTTGAATTACTTTGCATTATTGAAAGTGAAATATCTGTCTGTTTTATAGAGAAACCAGCACCTCCAAAGAAAGGTAGAGAGATATAGTATTTTCTTAATCAGCATTTCCAACAGTGAATACTAGATTAGACCAAATCTCATACAGATAATTTTACATTAATTTTTTTTTTCTTAAAAACATAATTTACCATGTAACCTTAAAATAGAAAAGCACTTTTATTTACTATGAGACAATTATAAAATAGCATATCTGCAAATGCTGACAATACTTTTAAAAAGTTAATTATGACTGACCTTTCAATTACTGCTCTGTTCTCCAGCACCTGAAATAAGCAAAGAAAAACCAAAGCCAGCACCAAAGAAAGGTTCATTTGTTAATCTGTAATGATAATGCCAAACATTTAAACATTTTAAAACAAAAGCTAATGCTTAAATTAGTTTGGTTTTAATAATTTTAGAGGCTGAAGTCATCAAGGAGAAAGCTAAACCAGCCACTGAGAAGAAAGGTTTGATTTACTTTAACAATCAAATTATTATTATTATCCCATGCAAAAATGATAATGCTAAATTGACCTTTTCTATATATTTTGATAATTTTAGATGCTGAAATAATTAAGAAGAAAACTAAACCAGCCCCTGAGAAGAAAGGTAAGAGTTACTATCTTTATTAACGTTTTATATTTTATCCATTTTATGCATGCTTCTTTAAGTTTCCGCTAATCTCATTTACCTAATTACAATCTCTAAATGTTATTATTGTCAGAGGCTGAAGTCATCAAGGAGAAGGTTAAAGCAGCTCCTGTAAAAAAAGGTATACATTTGAATGAGATGATTATATACTTTTAATTTTTACTGCATTTACATCATTCATCATGTGATATTGTCTTATAGAGTCTGAAGCTGCTAAAGAAAAGGCACCAGAACCAAAACCAGAACCCACTAAGAAAGGTGTTAATATGCTAAAGTTTGTCTTTTAAAATCAATGCATTTGAATGCATGCCTTACAAATATTTCCATATAAGCTTTTAGAAACAAATATCAATCTAACTTGTGATATCTTTCCAGTTGAGGTTCTAAAGAAAAAGGAAAAAACTGTTCCTGAAAAGAAAGGTACATCTCGAATCTTCATTACATCTTATGGAATGCAGTGCCTTGATTTTATCTGTACATCTGCACATTCTAAAGTTAAACCCTCGTGTTTTGCAGCAGCACCACAAATAACCAAAGAAAAACTTAAGCCTGTACCAAAGAGGGGTAAACTTTTTCAATATTAGTGAGAATAATGCTTAAAATGTTTTTTTTCCACTGGCCTTTTGTAAGGGAATGCTAATTGTTTGCATTTATTTTATTTACATTTTAGAGGCTGAACTTTTTAAAGAGAAAGCTAAACCAGCCCCTGTAAAGAAAGGTTTGAGTCACTGAATTAAGAATTAAATTACTATTTTCTTTAACAACATGATTAAACTAAACAAAAAAAAAAAATCTAAATGTGTTTTGCATTATCATGATCATAGAGGCTGAAGTCATAAAGGAAAAGGTTAAACCAACCTCTGAGAAAAAAGGTGAGTTCATGTTAATATTTTTATCTACAAATTCGAAAGTAATATTTCAAATGTCTTTTACAATCACCACATTGCCATTCCAGAGGTTGAAGTCAAGGAGAAAGCAAAACCAGCTCCTGCAAAGAAAGGTATGAATGTCAATAAATGCTTTATTAAATAATAATTATTCATATCATTAAAATTACTTTCTTGTAAGTAATTATTATTGTTTCATGACTTTGTTTCTATAAATATTTTATATTTTCACATATTTCAGAAGCTGAAGTCAGTAAAGAAAAATCCAAACCAGCTCCTGAGAAGAAAGGTTTGATTTACTGTTTTGAGAAATGTTTTCCACTAACTCTTAATATTTAAGAAAATCAGTACCTCTAAACATTTTGTACTATTACAATTTTAGAGGCTGCAGTCATCAAGGAGAAAGCAAAACCAGCTCCTGTAAAGAAAGGTATGGATGTGAATGATTATTCATCACATGCTGAAGTAATGTATCCTAAAATACATTATTTTATCCCGCAAGTATTTTAGTATATATACACCTTTTACCAGCCAGCCAGTGTATTCATATAAAAAATAATAATAAAAAAAAGAAAATTTTAAAGATAATAAAGCTTTTAAAATCTTTTAAAGTCATCTAGGAGATAACAGCTCCTGTAAAGAAAGGTATAGATATAAATGAAAGTTAAGGTTTTCTTTTAGCTAGTTTTTAAGATAACACTGATCTTTTTTTTCACTGCAAAATAGAATAGAACTGGTTTGTCTTCATATTTTATATTATCATCATTTCAGAGGCTGAAGTCGTCAAAGATAAAGCTAAACTAGCCCCTGAGAAGAAAGGTTTGACAAACTTTGTTAATATTTAAAATGTTTCCTCCAAGAAAAAAATGTATAGTATGCAAAATTATTTCTTTGGCTTCCTCTAAGTATTTGTATATAATGGTCATCATTTCAGAGGCTGAAGTTGTTAAGGAGAAAGCTAAGCCAGCCCCTGAGAAGAAAGGTAAGATTTACCATTAACTTAGCTTTATGAGAGATTTCATATTTTGGTATCATATATTTTAAGATAATGCAAAGAAGACAATTACAATGTCTAAAGATTTTTAAACCATTCTCATTTCAGAGGCTGCAGTCATCAAGGAGAAAGTTAAACCAGCTCCTGTGAAGAAAGGTGAATGAAATGAAATCATATCCTACATGTGCAGTCGATTTCCGCTATATGATAAATCAGATCAATTTTAAACTGTTTTTATAGAGCCTGACGTTGCAAAAGAAAAGGCTCCTGAACCAAAACCCAAAAAAGGTGAGATGTCTCCCCACATATGTGCATTTATGTGCATTGAACATCTCAGATTACTACTGTAACCTTAGTTCTCTAAAAAAAGGGAACGAGACGCTTTGGGAACACCCCTCCGTGATTGCGTCTGAAGCACGTATGTCAACTTAGTCCAATGGCGAAAGTGAGTTTCACGGCGGGCGACGTCACGACCAGGAAAGGATAAAAGCACATTCGGTCTGATAGGCATTAGCTTCAAATTATCCGAAGCAAGTCAATCAAAGGGATGCAGGAAGTATGGCAGGACGACCTCAGCGTCCCACCTTCTCAGGGAACTAGGTTTAAAGTCGGAACCTGAGATGTTCCCATTCGAGGGAACGCACGCTGTGTCAATGAGACTTAGAAAATGATAAATGGTAAATGGACTGCATTTATATAGCGCTTTCATAGACATAATGGCCACCAAAGCGCTTTACATATTGCCTCACATTCACCCATTCACACACACATTCACACACCGACGGCGGTGTCAGCCATGCAAGGCGCCATCCAGCTCGTCGGGAGCAGTTGGGGTTAGGTGTCTTGCTCACGGACACCTCGACACTTGGTCAGGTGGAACCGGGGATTGAACCACCAACCTTCCGGTTAATAGACAACCTAAATGAACCACTGAGCCGATGCCGCCCCTAAATAAATGACGTTTCACTAAACAAAGTAGGAGCACGTTCAATTAATCAATCCAATTAACATATTATCAACAATCCCAACACCCCAACATCTCACTCTCGGCTTGTTCCTTCCACTGCCAGAAATATGGGGGAGTACTCTGGGTTCGGGCCAAATACCGCGACCCGGAGGCCTCTCCTCGGACAGCACGGCAAATATGCATACCATTTATTCTATCTGACTTATTTGTTAGTGTGAACTCGTGAATACCCAAACGCAGTACATAACAATTGCCTGTTATGAGAAACCGTTGGCATCTAAGTCGTAAGCACCTGAGATCTTAGGGCAGCAACCAGATCCAGGCTATAAAACCTCACAAATGTGAGCGGGGAAGACCATCCCACTGCATCACACACCTCTTGTAGGGAAACCTCTGAAATTAATGCTTTAGAGGCCGCCATACTCCTAGTAAAGTAAGCTCTGACCATCAATGGTGACGCCTGGCCAGAGGACTCATAAGCAAGAGAAATAGCCTAGACTATCCACTTGCTGGTCCTCTGCTTAGAAGCTGGAAGACCTGGTGATCCAAAACAGACAAACAGCTGATCTGATTTTCTCAATGGAGAGAGGAGATTCAGCCTTTCCTGGTCTGGAGTCATGAAAGGAGGAGGACAGAAAGCTTTCTACACAATAGGCCCCACAGTGTTGGTTGACACTTTGGGGATGTAGCCCTGTTTAGGATATAAAAATGTCTTGACCATCCCAAGTGCAAACTCAAGGCGAGCTGGAAAAATTGAAAGGGCCTGAAGGTCTCTGAAGGTCAGAAACTTTTCTGAAACTGATTCGAGGGGCTCAAAGAGAGCTACAGATAGGCCCGCTAGGATTATAGCCAGGTCCCAAGCCGGAACCCGAATACGAGTTGCAGACCTCAGCCTCAAAGTACCACGGAGGAAACTAAAAATCAGGGGGTCTCTACCCAATGGCATATTACCCCCCGGGGCCTGTTTAGCCACTATGGCCGGCACGTAAACCCTTAGGGTGGATGGGCATAACCCTGAAGAAAAGTGGTCTTGCAAGAATTCAAGAACTGTACCAACTCGGCAGTTAACTGGATCCCACTGACGCTGTTGACACCAAGAAGCGAAAACTTTCCACTTCAAGGCATAAAGTTTCCTCGTGGCTGGAGCTCTGGAGTGTAAGATGGTCTCTAAATGGACTCGGTTGAGAGACCAGCATATATGAGTTGGACCCCTCAGAGGCGAAACCCATATGTTCCAAATCTCTGGGTGGGGGTGAGACAGAAGGTCTCTCCTGATCGGAAGCTCCAAGGGAGAGCCGTCGGACAGGGGCATTCAAGCAGGGGCGTTCCCAAAGCGACATCGATGTGGCGCGAGTTCCCTCGAAAGGGAACTGAATTATTTGACATGATTAAAATTCCTTTCTTTTTGTTTTGTTTTGTAGAGCCCGAAGTTACTAAAGAGAAAGCTAAACCAGTCCCTGAGAAGAAAGGTTTGACTTACTGTGTTGATTGATGATTTGTTATTATCAAAATGTTATTCTTTCTCTAAACATAATTGTAATGTTATCTTTTCAGAGGCTGAAGTCATTAAGGAGAAAGTTAAACCAGCTCCTGTGAAGAAAGGTATGGATGTCAAACAAATCATCCTGCGTATACCTCTTGAGTTGATTTGACTTGATGCATATACTGTAGAAAGTTATGCTAATTGTTTGATTGTGATTGTCACTTGTGACTGATATTTCAATTGTTTCTTTGGCTTTTATAAATATGACATAGAACATTATGATAAATTATATCATGAGAGAAGATGCAACAAATGTCTGCTTTTTAACATTAAACTCTTCTTTGCTTCGCAGAACCTGAGATAATTAAAGAAAAACCCAAGCCAACACCAAAGAAAGGTTTTCTTACTTGCATTAATTTGTTAAAATAATGACAATTTCTGTTGTAAGATAATGTTAACCTTATGCTTTCATTTCATATGTTTTGCCATACAAATATAGAGGCTGAAGTCATCAAGGAGAAAGCTAAACCAGCCCCTGAGAAGAAAGGTAAAAAAAATGTTGTTTTGTTTTTTTACATTGTGTGATTTTTATTCGTTGTTAAGGATAAATCTAAGATTCTGTTCTTCTGAAATTAAGATATTTTACAATCTCTATATAATATCATTGCCATATCAGAAGCTGAAGTCAAGGAGAAAGTAAAACCATCCCCTGTGAAAAAAGGTTTGATTTATTGTTTTATCTGTTAATTTTACTTTATTTGTAAGAAAAAGACAAAAATTATGCTAAACAAATTCTTTTCCCCACAAAATAATTTTACAATAATTTCTTTTCAGAGGCTGAAGTTAAAGAGAAAGTTAAACCAGCCTCTGAGAAGAAAGGTAAAAGTTGCCTTTTTTTCAATGTGTGATTAAAGTTTCATACTTTTAAGATTTTTTACATTCTCTAAATAATACTAGTTCAAGATTCACGTTTGTATCTTATATGACCTCTTGAGTTGATTTGACTTGATGCTTATACTGTAGAAAGTTATGCCTATTGTTTGATTGTAGCCACTTGTGACTGATATTTCAATGTTTTGCCATATGTTATGCTATACAAATATAGAGGCTGAAGTCATCAAGGAGAAAGCTAAACCAGCCCCTGAGAAGAAAGGTAAAAAAAGTGATGTTGTTTTTTTTTTTACATTGTGTGATTTTTATTCGGTGTTAAGGATAAATCTAAGATTCTATTCTTATTAATTGAAGATATTTTACAATCTCTATATAATATCATTGCCATATCAGAAGCTGAAGTCATCAAGGAGAAAGTAAAACCATCCCCTGTGAAAAAAGGTTTGATTTATTGTTCTATTTGTAAAAAAGAGACAAAAATTATGCTAAACAAATTATTTTCCCCACAAAATAATTTTACAATATTTTCTTTTCAGAGGCTGAAGTTAAAGAGAAAGTTAAACCAGCCTCTGAGAAGAAAGGTAAAAGTTGCCTCTTTTTTCAATGTGTGATTTTTCTTTTCCTGTGTTAAAGAAGAAGAAGAAGTTGAGATTCATATATTTAAGATTTTTTACAGTCTCTAAATATTACCATTGCCATTTCAGAGGCTGAAGTCATCAAGGAGAAAGTTAAACCAGCTCCTGCAAAGAAAGGTTTGGATGTCAAACAAATCATCCTGCGTATACTGTTGTTTTCCACTGTATGATATATGGTATACAGTGTATATATATATATATATATATATATATATATATATACAGTATATATATGGTATAACACAACACAATCCTGTTTTATAGAGCCTGAAATTTCGAAAGAAAAGGCACCCGAAACAACAGGTATTCATATACTGTACAGCTTTTGCCATATTCCATATGATAAACAAATCATATTTTTTTGTTCTCATCCCTTTTAGTCGAGGTTGCAAAAGAAAAGGCGAAACCGGTCCCTGAAATAAAAGGTTAAGCATCTAGTTCAAAATTCACGTTTGTATCTTATATGACCTCTTGAGTTGATTTGACTTGATGCATATACTGTAGAAAGTTATGCCAATTGTTTGATTGTAGCCACTTGTGACTGATATTTCATTTTTTATTGGCTTTTATAAATATTACAAAGAACATTATGATAAATTATGTCATGAGAGAAGATGCAACAAATGTTTTCTTTTTAACATGAAACTCTTCTTTGCTTTGCAGAACCTGAGATAATTAAAGAAAAACCCAAGCCAACACCAAAGAAAGGTTTTGCTACTTGCATTAATTTGTGAAAATAATGACAATTTCTGTTGTAAGATAATGTTAAACTTATGCTTTCACTTCATATGTTATGCCATAAAAATATAGATGCTGAAGTCATCAAGGAGAAAGCTAAACCAGCCCCTGAGAAGAAAGGTTTGATTTACTATTACCTATGAAATTGATAACATTTATAAGTAAAATAAAATGTGATGTTAAAATGTTTTATATTATCAGCATTTTAGAGGCTGAAGTTAAGGAAAAAGCTAAACCAGCCACTAAGTAAACGTTACAATTTCATGTGTGCTTAAAAAAAATCTAAAATTGATATTTTGCCAAAAACATAATATACATTTCTACATTTGATATATACATCTCTGAATACCATTCAAAAGTTTAGTTAGATCAGTAAGAGTTTAAAAGAAGTCTCTTCTGCTTACCAAAGCTTGATTTTTTTTAACCTAAATTACAGCAAAAACAGTAATATTGTGAAACATTTTTACAATTTAAAATAAGCTTTTCTATTTGAATATATTTTAAAATGCAATTTATTCCTATTATGTCAAATGTGTATATGCATTCTCTAAATATTTTTTACATGATTACCTGTTTCAGAGGCAGCAGTCATCAAGGAGAAAGTTAAACCAGCTCCTATAAAGAAAGGTATGGATGGAATTACTGATTTTGACATTATTATGGTAATTTATCACATGCAAAAAAATACTGTTTTATAAACCCTGAAGTTTCTAAAGAAAAGGCTCCAGAACCAAAACCCAAAAGAGTTTAGGTTTTCCTAATGCCTTCTAGAACATTGTAAATCTAATCATAACAACAACAAAAAAATTGTGAAGAAAAGCTTCATTGTTTTACACAATGAATTGGAGTGAATCTGTCTGTTTTCTGTTTTGTAGAGCCTGAAGCTGTCAAAGAAAAAGCTAAACCAGCCCCTAAGTTGAAAGGTTTGGTTTACTGTGTTAACAATCAAGATAACAATATGCATACATGTTATATTACACTACAGTAATGTTTAAATGTTTTTATTTTATCAACATTTTAGAGGTTGAAGTCATCAAGGAAAAAGCCAAACCAGCACTTAAGAAAAAAGGTAGAAGCTGTAATTTCATGTGTGCTTAACCCTTAAGTTAAAGACCAAATTCATGTTTTCTCACAAAAATGATAAGCTATAATTTTTCTAAATATTCTCACATAATTTCCTTTCAGAGGATGAAGTCATAAAGGAGAAAGTTAAACCAGCTCCTGTAAAAAAAGGTATAGATTGAATTAAATAATCTGCTTATTGTTGCTTTAATAATGTATGACAATCATTTATCACACCAAACTATACGATTTTATAGAGTCGAAGGTTCCTAAAGAAATGGCACCTGAACCTGCAAAGAGAGGTATTATATGTGTGTGCAATTTTGAATGCCATATATAGGTTTTCATTTTGTAAATGTTGCTCTGAAATATCCTTATTTATCTTCGGATCCCTTTCAGTTCCAAAGGAAAAGACCAAACTAGTCTCCAAAGAAAAAGGTACACATCTAGTAAATTACCTACTATTGCTGATTTATCAGCACCGTAGCAAATGTTGACAACAATGACTTGTTACTGTGCTTCCTTTGCTAAAATTACCAATATTTATTACAGGATATTTGAAAATGTACATGTTAAATGTACCCTGACATGGAGTTATTGTGTTATTTTATGAAGTTTCCTGGGTTGCCTTTATAATGTTAGTATGTTTTTTAGATAAAAAATATTGATAATTTAGAAATAAAAGGCATTTTTCCTAGCCTGATTTGAACGCTCTGTTTGAAGGGGTGTGTCTGCTCTGGGATTCAGTGTAATCGGCCACTGCTGTGATTGGCTAACATGCTTGCATATGAAAAAGCTACATCTTACATGTGTAACTCTCTTGAATAGGCCTACTTTTACTACAGCTATTATTAGGGCTTGGCGATATGACTAAAAAAAGTTATCACAATAATTTTTTTATATCAGTCGATATCGATAATTATCATTTGACATTTGTGTTCTTCGCTGAATTCAAGCGCTTCTCACTGGATCTCGTGACCGAGACCGATCAGAGTAAACGCCTCTGCTCTAGTGAGCTCGCGCTGCAGTTTGGACTTTGAGCCGAGCGGATAAACGGTCTATAAGGCATGCGGTTCAAAAGAGTTTCGTTCCCCTTTGGCGCATAAACATTATCGAACATTTATCAAACTCTTGATATAATTTTATAGAGAAAAATTATATCGCGATAACTATCGTTATCGTTTTAATGCCCAGCCCAGCTATTATATGTTTTTACTATTACAGCTATCGAGATTAACGAATCATGAAAAGTTTTTAAAGTATTTAGATCTATTCCCATCACATAAAATGTTGACATTTTGAGCATTGAGCAAGCAGATGACAGTCTGTTGAGACTGTTCACGAGGTTCGCGTTCAGGAATTCAGTGTACCAATACACAGTGCTACTGTTCGGACTAGCCCTCGCTCCCCAAACTTTTCCAAAATGTGTGGATTTTATACACCGACTGACATTTATAGTCACTGGGGGACCATATACAGTCTAGGGGAGCTCATATTAATGTTAAAAAAAACCCAGAACGTTAAAATTTCATGTCAGGGGACCTTTAACTTACATTACACAACATTACATCTGCTATTTAAAGTTAAAATTCTAAAGTTAAACTCTCATGTTTTTCAGTACCTGATCAAACTAAAGACAAAACAAAGCCAGCACCAAAGAAAGGTACTCCAATTTATCAATAAGAATAAGACCCAAAAAATCCCTGGTCAGTTTTAAGATTATGCTAATGCTTTGATATAATCATTTCATTTTAGAAGCTGAAGTCGTCAAAGAAAAAGTAAAACCAGCCCTTGTGAAAAAAGGTTTGATTTATTGTTTTATCTGTTAATTTTACTTTATTTGTAAGAAAAATACTAAAATTATGCTAAACAAATTCTTTTCCCCACAAAATAATTTTACATTATTTTATTTTCAGAGGCTGAAGTTAAAGAGAAAGTTAAACCAGCCTCTGAGAAGAAAGGTAAAAGTCGCATCTTTTTTTCAATGTGTGATTAAAGTTAAGATTCATACTTTTGAGATTTTTTACAGTCTCTAAATATTACCATTGCCATTTCAGAGGCTGAAGTCATCAAGGAGAAAGTTAAACCAGCTCCTGCAAAGAAAGGTTTGGATGTCAAACAAATCATCCTGCGTATACTGTTGTTTTCCACTGTATGATATATGGTATACAATGTATATATATATATATATATATATATATATATATATGGTATAACACAACACAATCCTGTTTTATAGAGCCTGAAATTTCGAAAGAAAAGGCACCCGAAACAACAGGTATTCATATACTGTACAGCTTTTGCCATATTCCATATGATAAACAAATCATATTTTTTTGTTCTCATCCCTTTTAGTCGAGGTTGCAAAAGAAAAGGCGAAACCGGTCCCTGAAATAAAAGGTTAAGCATCTAGTTCAAAATTCACGTTTGTATCTTATATGACCTCTTGAGTTGATTTGACTTGATGCATATACTGTAGAAAGTTATGCCAATTGTTTGATTGTAGCCACTTGTGACTGATATTTCAATTGTTTCTTGGTTTTTATAAATATGACAAAGAACATTATGATAAATTATATCATGAGAGAAGATGCAACAAATGTCTGCTTTAACATTAAACTCTTCTTTGCTTTGCAGAACCTGAGATAATTAAAGAAAAACTCAAGCCAACACCAAAGAAAGGTTTTCTTACTTGCATTATTTGTGAAAATGACAATTTCTGTTGTAAGATAATGTTAAACTTATGCTTTCATTTCATATGTTTTGCCATAAAAATATAGATGCTGAAGTCATCAAGGAGAAAGCTAAACCAGCCCCTGAGAAGAAAGGTAATAATAAAAAAAAAATGTTGTTGTTTTTTTTACATTGTGTGATTTTGTTCGGTGTTAAGGATAAATCTAAGATTCTATTCTTATGAAATGAAGATATTTTACAATGTCTATATAATATCATTACCATATCAGAAGCTGAAGTCATCAAGGAGAAAGCTAAACCAGCCCCTGTGAAAAAAGGTAAAAAAAAAGTGTTGTTGTTTTTTTACATTGTGTGATTTTTATTCGTTGTTAAGGATAAATCTAAGATTATATTCTTATGAATTGAAGATATTTTACAATCTCTATATAATATCATTGCCATATGCAATATCAGAAGATGAAGTCATCAAGGAGAAAGTAAAACCATCCCCTGTGAAAAAAGGTTTGATTTATTGTTATATCTGTTAATTTTACTCTATTTGTAAGAAAAAGACAAAAATTATGCTAAACAAATTATTTTCCCCACAAAATAATTTTACAATATTTTCTTTTCAGAGGCTGAAGTTAAAGAGAAAGTTAAACCAGCCTCTGAGAAGAAAGGTAAAAGTTGCCTTTTTTTCAATGTGTGATTTTTCTTTTCCTGTGTTAAAGAAGAAGAAGAAGTTGAGATTCATACATTTAAGATTTTTTACAGTCTCTAAATATTACCATTGCCATTTCAGAGGCTGAAGTCATCAAGGAGAAAGTTAAACCAGCTCCTGCAAAGAAAGGTTTGGATGTCAAACAAATCATCCTGCGTATACTGTTGTTTTCCACTGTATGATGTTTATTTATAACACAACACAATGCTGTTTTATAGAGCCTGAAATTTCGAAAGAAAAGGCACCCGAAACAACAGGTATTCATATACTGTACAGCTTTTGCCATATTCCATATGATAAACAAATCATATTTTTTTGTTCTCATCCCTTTTAGTCGAGGTTGCAAAAGAAAAGGTTAAACCAGTCCCTGAAATAAAAGGTTAAGCATCTAGTTCAAAATTCACGTTTGTATCTTATATGACCTCTTGAGTTGATTTGACTTGATGTAGAAAGTTATGCCTATTGTTTGTTTGTAGCCACTTGTGACTGATATTTCAATTGTTTCTTGGCCTTTATAAATATTAAAAAAAGAACCTTATGGTAAATTATATTATGAGAGAAGATGCAACAAATGTCTGCTTTAACATTAAACTCTTCTTTGCTTTGCAGAACCTGAGATAATTAAAGAAAAAACCAAGCCAACACCAAAGAAAGGTTTTGCTACTTGCATTAATTTGTGAAAATAATGACAATTTCTGTTGTAAGATAATGTTAACCTTATGCTTTCATTTCTTATGTTATGCCATAAAAATATAGTTGCTGAAGTCATCAAGGAGAAAGCTAAACCAGCCCCTGAGAAGAAAGGTAAAAAAAAAAAATGTTGTTGTTTTTTTACATTGTGTGTTTTTTATTCGGTGTTAAGGATAAATCTAAGATTCTGTTCTTATGAATTGAAGATATTTTACAATCTCTATATAATATCATTGCCATATCAGAAGCTGAAGTCATCAAAGAAAAAGTAAAACCATCCCCTGTGAAAAAAGGTTTGATTTATTGTTATATCTGTTAATTTTACTCTATTTGTAAAAAAGAGACAAAAATTATGCTAAACAAATTATTTTCCCCACAAAATAATTTTACAATATTTTCTTTTCAGAGGCTGAAGTTAAAGAGAACGTTAAACCAGCCTCTGAGAAGAAAGGTAAAACTTTACTTTTTTAATGTGTGATTTTTTTTTCCTGTGTTAAAGTAGTAGTTAAGATTCATACATTTAAGATTTTTTACAGTTTCTAAATTTTACCATTGCCATTTCAGAGGGTGAAGTCATCAAGGAGAAAGTTAAACCAGCTCCTGTAAAGAAAGGTACCGTATGGATGAGAATGAAATCACAATGCGTCTATTCTTGTTTTCCCACTGTATAATAATTCAAGTATCACATGGAAAAAAATACTGTTTTATAGAGTCTGAAGTTTCCAAAGGAAAGGCTCTTGAACCACAACCAAAAAGAGGTGAGGTTTTTTTTCCGAACACCAGCAGATAATATGTACTTTAAAGAAAGCTAAAAATTTCACAGTAAACTAAATTATATTTTTAGAGGCTGACGTCAAAGAGATAGCTAAACCAACCTCTGAGAAGAAAGGTAAAACATTTTTGTTTTGTTTTTTGGGGTTTTTTTTTTTACATTGTGTGATTTTATTTGGTGTTAAGGATAATCTAAGATTCTATTGTTATGAAATGAAGAAATTTTACAATCTCTAAACAAGATCATTGCCATTTTAGAGGCTGAAGTCATCAAGGAGAAATCTAAACCAGCTCCTGTAAAGAAAGGTATGGATGTTAATGAAATCACTGTGTGTAATATTGCCTTCCTGCTGTATAGTGATTCAAGTATCACATGAAAAAATACTGTTTATAGAGCCTGAAGTTTCTAAAGAAAAGACTCCTGAACCAAAACCCCAAAGAGGTAGGATTTTTTTCAGATTTTTTTTCTAAACACAAGCAGATAATATTTAGTTACTTCTAAATATGTAAACATTTTCACAATTTCAGAAGCTGGAGTCACCAAAGACAAAGTAAAACCAGCCCCTGAGAAGAAAGGTTTGATTTACTTTAAAATGTAATAAAAATATTCTTTAGGAAAATACAAGGTAATGCTAAAAAAAACCTTTTTATCTCATATCATCAACACTGTAGAAGCTAAAATCATCATGGAGAGACCTAAGCCGGCTCCTGAGAAGAAAGGTAAGAGTTACAGTTATTGTGGCTTAATGTGTGCTTTCATTCTGAAGATAAAGTCGAAACTCAAATTTACTCATATTCGATGATGATGATGATAATTTTTTTCTCTACATATTTTCATTATTTCTGAAGTAATCAAAAAGAAAATTAAACAAACTTCTGTAAAGAAAGGTATAGATATCAATGAAATTGTCCTGTATCTTCATTTAACTGTCGCTTTTATCCAAAGCAACTTACAACTGCTATATATATATATCAGAGGTTGCACGCCTGTGAATGTGTTGTTTATTTAAAAAAATAAAATAAAAAAAACAATGTCAAAAAAATATTTATGTTGTGGATAGTTTTAAGATAATGCTAATATTTTAAATATTTTATATTATCATTATTTAGAGGCTGAAGTCATCAAAGATAAAGCTAAACCAGCCCCTGAGAAGAAAGGTTTGAGTTACTGTTGTCTGTTATTAAATTGACATTATCCCTAAGCCCAAAGGTGTTCTTCATCTAAAAAAAAAATGTATATTGTCATCACTGTAGAGGCTGAAATCATCAAGGAGAAAGTTAAACCAGCTCCTGTAAAGAAAGGTATAGATGTCAATGAAATCGTCCTGTAATGATGTTGCTTCCCACTTAATTCATTCATCAAATGAATCAATGCTGTTTTACAGAGCCTGAAGTTCGTAAGGAAAAGGCACCTGAACCAGTGCCAGAACCTACAAAGAAAGGTATTAATATATAGTATAATCTATGCTTATCTTTTAACATTTGCCAATTTGAATACATACCTGAACACCATATGCATGTTAAGACCATATCCATATGCTGAAAAAAAAAAACCTTAAAATGAAAATTTCAAGGTTTTCTCAGAAACAAATCCTTGTTTCAAATCTCTTTTTCAGTCAAGGTTCCCAAGGAAGAGGCAAAGCCAGTCCCTGAAGAAAAGGGTACCTATATAGTTGACCTTTTAAATATTTTTTTTTCCATTTATTTAATTTGCTATCATAAAATTCTACTGCCATGTTTTACAGAACCCGAAATAACCAAAGAAAAGCCAAAGCCAGCACCAAAGAAAGGTATTTTTTGTGTGTGAGACTGTGAGATAAATGCCATTTGAATGTTAGAATGAACTTTAAAGTAAATTAAACTACAGCTATTTAATAAGCTGTAACAATAACAATTTCCTTAGTTTTGTGTTTTACATTTTTTAAATATGTTTTTCATCATCACTAATTCAGAAGCTGTAGAAAAAGCTGTCATTAAAGAAAAAGCTAAACCAGCCCTCCTGAAGGAAGGTATGAGTTGCTTCTATTTTTCCTGTATACTGTGATTATTCTAGCAAATCAAGTTTCAGCCTCCTGAAATAAGGTTATTTCAGTCAGCCATTTTTTTACCAAGCCATAAGGCAAAGAGGTTTTATTCTGTTATTATTATTATTGCTGTTTTAGAGGCTGAAGTCATCAAAGAGAAAGTAAAACCAGCCCCCGAGAAGAAAGGTTTGATTTACTGTAATAATCAAATTAACACCGAACAGAATTTTATATATAGTTTTTTATTTATTCTGTATGTTTTTATTTTATCAACATTATAGAGGCTGAAGTCATCAAGGAGAAAGCTAAACCAGCCCCTGAGAAGAAAGGTAAGTGTTACCTTTTTACATTTAATAAAAAAAGTTTATTTTACATGAATTTATTTATATTCTCCAAATATGTTTGCATAATTTCCTTTTCAGAGGCTGAAGTCATCAAGGAGAAAGTTAAGCGAGCTCCTGTAAAGAGAGGTATGAATGCAAATGAAATCATCCTGCATATACTGTACGTAGTGTTGCTTTCTGTAATACATTTTTTTATAAAATTATCATCACATGAAACAATACTCTTGTATAGAGCCTACAGTCGCTAAAGAAAAGGCACCAGCACCAGAACCAAAAAAAGGTAAGTCTTTTTTGGAAATGTTATATACAATTATACCGTTTTTGTAATTATATGTTCAAGTATAATTAAAGTTTTTTACAATATTTATTCTCATTAGTAGTGGGAAGTTCGGATCATTTTACTGACTCAGATCTTTGAGTCTCGTTCAGCAAAATTAACTAATCTTTTTTCGAGTCATTTCGTTAATTTCAGCATTATATAATTAAAATGGCATGTTAAATATCCCAAAACATCTAGTACTTACGAAAATCTTAATTACATTTGTAAAAAGAATAAAAATAATTTAAATAACTATAGGGTCACGGTGGCGTGATTACGATAAGCAAAACATGTGAGACGCAATACATAAACACATAAATAAATACATAAATCATAAATCTCACATAAATACAATACATAAATCTCTCGTCTCAGGGGGATATGAGAGTGGAATGCATGGTAATTTGAAAATGCATGCATCCGTCCATTGTAAACGAACTCCAAACGGCTCTAGGGGGTTAATAAAGGCCTTCTGAAGCAAAACGATGAGTTTGTGTAAGAAAAATATGAATATTTAAAACTTAATGTATAAATAAAGTAAGTAAAATAACTAGCTTCCGGCCAAATGAACATAAGGATTCCACTCAAGTGTAAAGCGCAACTTATGCGAGTTGCGGGTAAATATATATATTTTTATTGTGAGTAAATAAAAAAATAAATTCGAGTAATGTGACATACTGCTGATATTTACGCTACGCCATGACGCACTACGCTACTTCTGACGTTATAAATTTCAGAAGTTGCGCATTATGGCAAGTAAACTGTGTTTGGCCGGAAGCTAGAATTTTACTTTGTAATGTGTTAAATATTAATATTTTTTAGTTTTACACAAACTCATCGTTTTGCTTCAGAAGGCCTTTATTAACCCTCTGGAGCCAGTTCATTTGCAATGGATGGATGCAAATTTTTTTGCTTCAATCTGTTGGTTGCAATCCACTGCCATTTTAAAACTTGGAAGAGCCAGGATATTTTTAATATAACAAGGCAAGTCAATTTGGGCGACCATCTTTGAAACGTCTCTTGGTTCTGCTATTTCAGTCAAGCAGATACAGCTGCTATCACTTTAAATGGGGAAACATCAAATTCTCCAAAACTGTTCATCAAGCGTACGATTAAAGGGGTGATGAACTGAGAAATCAAATTTTCCTTGAGCTTTTGACATCTAAGAGGTCATCATATTATAAGAATATCCTGTATGTTTCAGAACTGAAAACATCCTTGTTAGTCCAACAAAAGCATTTATTGACACCAGGCTCTGCAAACGACTGGTTTTTAAAAATGGGGAACTATGACGACAAAGAGGATAAAACACCACCCCCGCAGAAGATCAACGCCTACTTCAACTTGGCCGGTTTAGCCCCGCCCACCGATTCGCGCATTACATGCATAGCTAAATAACATACATGCCTACCTCGTGATGACAATCCGGATTTATTGTGAAGCGCCTGGTTGTGTAAGAAGACAGTCGCTGCATAAGCTTCCTCTGGATTCCAATAGGACTGCATGAATAAACTTTATTCTTAACAACGTTCCAGCTGATGAGGGTAAAACATCGTCGTCTGTTTGCTTCATTTCACTGAGGATTGGTTTGTAAACAAGACTGGATTTGCAGACCGATTAAGAGTAAAGAACGGTGCTGTGCCGTCTATATTGGATCTGACAGGAATTGTGCAACACACGGACTCTGGGTCGAACATGTGTGGGCGAATCATTTCGGTTGCCATTTTACAACATTGGACGTTTTCCCCCACGTACACCGACGGGTGAGTTAAACTCATTATAATATGCAAAACTGTTCTCCACTCGCAGCAGTGGGCGTTTACTTCCAAGTCTTCAGTGCGACATGCCCATAAAAACCGACCGTTTTTCAGCTAGGCTCACAACTTGGGTTCAAAATAGCCTATTACTTATTCATTTTGATGTTTTTGAATGCAAAAACCAAGTGAACGTCATAAGTTGACCTCAGACAACAATATAATAAAATTTAAAAAGTCAGTTCATGACCTCTTTAAATTTCATATTTGAATGCACCAATAAAATCTGACAACTGTCTCATAAATTTAGTTACTAAACGCTCAAATCATGACCAAGAAAAATGCATTTTTCAGGCTGGACCATGCCAGCCATATTGTGCGTTGCTCTTTCTCCTTTTCATAGTAATGAGTGCAACATCTTTGTATATCTAAAGTCTTTGTGATAAGTTACTTAGCACGTCAACCTATTCTACTAACCCTAACCTAACACTCTACTAATACTTAGTTAACATGTAGTTGCATAGTTAGAAAAAATAAAGTGTAACTGATAAGAGCCTGTCTGAATGGCCACAGATCATTACACAAATGATTTCAAAAACACTTGTGAACACACAGATGATGTTGGTCTAATCGGTCTGGATTTGGAGCTCCTGAACTCCATCAACCAAAAACTGTCTCTTCTGGATTTAATGAGGAAGGACATTGGTGAAATGAAAAGTGATCTGGAGTCGACTCAAAATCAAATTACACTTTTACGGATGGACAACAGAACGATGAAAGGTATTTCATCCATGCTAGAAATATTTCGAATTTTGACATTATCATTCTTGTAACATTACAAGTGATTTCTTGTTTACGTGCTGTTTGTATCTCTTACAGAGCTGGAGACTGTCAGTGTGAAAGTAAAACCAGAGGTCTCCAAGGAAAAATCTAAAAAAGGTATCAAAATGTATTAATTTCACAAGCTAGTCATGAATTATAGTCATTGAACTACAGCTAAACAGGAACCAGACTGTACATACAAGTCTTAAGACTATAGTCCTAGACTAAAATTCATATTTGAGCTGTTTTAACTGAAAGCCACTTGCACGGATACATCTTCAAATATGTCAGTGCCATTGTTTTGTCTCGGGATGCACACCAGTAATGTTTTTTACTAAGAAATGTTTATAAAAGCCACTTAAATGTCCTAATTGAACTGAAAAGGCCTAATCCTGGCTTAATCTAACCTCAGGCTCACAAGTTTTTATATAAAGTGTGATTCCCTCTTCAATGTTCACATGCTGCGAGTGAGTGAAACTTTTTTCTTTTATAGATCGTGATGCTCTGATGAACGTTACTAAGGCAGCACATGTAAAAAAAGGTAATGGGCTATCATTTTATTATCCAACCTATTATTTTACTTGTTTATTCTCAGGAATATTTTTTTCTTTTGGAAGTTGACAGACAATTTGTTAATGAAATCGAAGCTTCGTTAGAGCAATATCAGAATATTCTAAATTTTTTACTTCTACTTTTTATGTACAGTCTGATATTTACTTTTTATCCATATTGTCTTTTCGTCAGCTCTGTATTTTGCATGTGTACAAGATGAGTGAATGTTATATCCAGCTCTCTTTGATCAGTTATGAAATGGAAGCTTGCATTCAGCTTAGCAATATTTTTCTTCTCTTTAACACAGAACGTGATGCATTGAAAAACGTCACTAAACCACCACCTGCCAAGAAAGGTATGTCAGAAAACTTCAGCAGATCACCAGGTATAATATTATATTTATGTTAATTGACAAAATTTCTTTAAGCAAATTTATGAATGCTTTGATTTTGTGGGAAATTAAGACATTTCATTAAGACAGTGAATTTTTATTAAAATATATATATATATATCCACATTAAAAATGAGTAACTTTTCTATGCTAGACAAAGAGGCTCCCAAAGCAAAGATCAGACCAGAGACAGAAAAGAAAGGTAAAATTTATTATTTACTCCTAAAAATGTATGTATTTTGTAAAAACTCATCCTACACATTGACTCTCTCCTAAGGGATAAAGTAAAAAAGATACATTGTTGTTTTTGTGTCAGTGTTTATTAAATATAAATATTTCCTGATGCTAGAAATCATCTGTGAAAAAGTCAAAGTTAGGAACTTTTACAGAAAGATACTATGGCTGATTGCATAGAAAGATTATTTACTAACAGACTTTTAACAATGTTATTCTTCATTTCAGCAATAGTTCTGTATTTTTACACTCCAAGAATAATAATAATTTCATATTTTCACTAACAGAATGTAACATTAATAGTTGATAATATGATAACCTGCTAATATCAGGAGTATAGAAATCTTTTCATCTACATACATACACGCTAAAAATATATATTTCTTATATATTTCAAATATTGATTGAGAAGAAATATTGAAAGTATTAATTCCACCAAGCAATCCAGCACATAATGAACAGGAATCCGCTTCCTGGTAAAAAGACATGCATGAAGTATGCTTTAGGATACCTTTAATACAGCTATTTTCCTTTTATTTATTTTTTTAGAACCTGAGCATGTCAAAGAAGAAGGTATGTTTTTTTTTAGTCATGAGTGAATAAAGGCTTTTTATATTTTTAAAATCCTTGAGCGCCTTGGCCTTGTATGTTTTTAATCTATGCTTTTTTTGTATTTGCTCGTTTTTCCAATTTAATTGTTAAGCAGTAGGTATAATGTGAAGTCCACGTATTCTGATTATGGGCAACATATTGTACTATTTACAACCCCTCCCATGTACATTTTAACTGATATTTTGAATGTTCTGTAATCAGTAGTCCAGCCAACTGAGAAGGAAGCTGTCATAGACAAGGAAGTAAAAGGTTAGATATTTTTGTTTGGACAGTATAACAATTATGTCTTTGGAAGGTTTCCATAAAACGTGTGTGTGTGTGTGATGTGTAAAATAAGATTAAAATAAAATATAAATATATATTTTTTGCTGTAGGAGTAGAACCTGATGTCACCAAAGATATTCCAGAGATAGAGGAGGGTACGTTTTGTTTACGTTTTCACTATATCAAGTTTGTATTTAAGAACATGGTGAAGCTTTATCTGCATTATAATCAAACCATACAGTATGTGCTTGTTGTTTTTTTTAAAGCAATCACATTTTAATTTTATGAACCATCTTGACAAGACACATTTCAAAGTCAGAGACAAAAGTCTGCTCACTTTTTTTTCCTTTGTATGTGCTATCCCAAAAAAATAATCGTAAAAACAGCCTCTAATTTTATTTCCACTACAGAGGACATTCCCTACTTCCAGTGTTTCTTTGTGGATGAGGATGATACTCAATATCCGTTCTTCCCCTTTTCACCGCCGCTGTGGTGAGTCCAGCCAAACCTCTGAGTCTGACGTTAAACAACATGGCGAACACAGTGGAGGACAGACCTCTGAAGACTGAGGAACCTGCTAATGTAATGCAGCATAGAGGTTCACAGTAGGTCCTAAAGCATTACACCAACAACGACCTAGAAATGTGAAAGAGATTTGAGTTACTTCCTGGATTTCGAACTTCTTGGAAAACTTATTTCTCCAATTTTTAAAGTCAAGTCACCTTTATTTATACAGCGCTTTTTACAATACAGATTGTTTCAAAGCAGCTTTACAGTGAAAATAATGCAACAAAGTTTGTTGCTAGAATAACACAGGTTGCAAACATTGCATTAAGTATAATCTTAAGGCTATCGATCTTTTTATTGATACTGTACCATGGATGTGAGTATAGTTTGTCCAGACAGCACTGACAGGAAGTAACGAACCAACTTTCCTTTCTGAACACTGCAGTGGGGTTCAGGATACTAAGATCATACAATCTTTTATATACAAGGTACATTACCTCATTTTGATGGGGTGCTAATTCAAAGCATTCCACTGTTTTCTGTCAGAAGGAAGGGAGGAATAGATCAAGATATAATAGATTAAGAAATATGAAACAAATATTTCATGTATATTTTCTTAGTAACAACGTTTACTAAACCGTTTACAGACGTAACAACTGCACTGAGAAATAAGGGCTTTGGACAGTAAGCTCAGTTCCTCTGAATGTATAGATGTTTAGATTACATAGATTATTTTATTTATTTTTTATTATTTATTTTTATTATTTTTAGTTTTACATACATTTTATTTAACACAGTTTGCCAATTAATCATATAAGTTTATAAATCTATACTTCAGGCTCTATGAAACAAATGTTTCGTTCAGTGCTCTGTATGAAGGAACACACTGGATTTTGCATAAAGAAATGAAACTAAACAGTGGTGCTTAATCCAGGAAAAAAAAACATCAAGGAAACTGCACTGTTTTAATCCAAGCGAATGTATTTCTCTTTACATTGCAAATGCTACCGCATTTTTCCACTGAACATTAATAGTTTATGTAGGTGAAAATGTGGGTGTTTTGCAATATTACATGGATAGACCTACCTAATTAACTGGAATTGTTATAAAAATAGTCTGTATTGCACAGAAGATTTTTTTCAGTATGGGATAATATGATGTGCCAGATGAAATGTATTGCATGTAAGCACAGTGTTTCTCAGCACTGGCTTTGGTGGATCCCTGGCACCTGATTCTCATCAGCTCATTAGTAGAGCTCTCCTTTACTTGATTTAATGATGTTAGTGAATGTTTAATAGTGTGTACTAATGAGACTCCTAAAATGTGCTGTGCCAGTGGGCCACCCCGGAGCCATTTCTTTTATTGCTACTCTTTCCTGCAGGAGTTCAGCATGTGGCTCCATAGAGGATAAACAAATGTCTGTACAAAGATCTTCACAAGTATGTGATATTATTTTTTCTCTGCATATGCATACTATAGCAGTATTCAATTATAATGGAAATATGTCTTTTTTTTGACTCAGTTTAACCATGGTAGATTATGAATGATTAGCCTTTTCAAACTAGTTCCTTGCATAGAGTTGCTTTTAAATATAATTCAGAATTAATATATGTTCCTCAAAGATAATAGTTTTGCATGATGGTTCTATGAATTGTATTGTATCTAATCCAGATCATATTTAATATTATATAATTTATCATGTAATATTGTGTGTGCATCATGTGAGGTTGGGGGGTTGGTGTCTTTTGCATGGTTTTGCGGTCAGATATTCAAAATGACAAAAGTTGTGAAATGCATTATGTACAGTCTCTGTAAAAGTTATAGCCATAAACTGAAAAGATTTATCTATCAAGAGAATCAACAATATGGCCATCGATCAAAAAAGAGCCCTGTATGCAACTGTAAATGCCAATAGAACTGCAATGCAACTCTATCTGTAATAGACTCAAATTTTACTGAAGGTCGGATTTAAGACTTAGAAGAAATAAATGTTTGCAATTATCAGACCAATTGTTATATATTTTTTTTTACAAAGCTATATAATTATTTGATTATATACAGACTTTTATGCTATTCACGTTTGTTTTTTTTTTTTATTAACAGCATTTCTGTCTTTTCTTTTCTTTGACTATTTCAACATCACTCAGGCCATTATGTCAACATCCACTATCACCAGTAGGTGGCATTACTGCAATAGGCTCTCATGTTTACTGACTGGTCCTTTTGTAATTTTCTTATAAAAGTTCAAATGTAAACCTAAAATCAATTGCTAATTAACAACATATTAATCAGTGTATTCACATTCAACTATTTTTCACAATATTAAGTGATGCTACAAACTGCATTTAAATGACTGAAATATAATGTAGAGTGAAATAGCTACATTTAACTAGCTTTTTTTAAATAATTGAGATGATTTTGAAAGATTAAGGATTCAGAAACATGCATATTTTTGTGATCTATCCTACAAAAAGCTGCCAAAAGTTCAGTGTGTTAACTGCATTGGTATGCTCACTCTGCTTTGTGCTATTCAAGGTTTCTGCCAGACTGCTATTCTGCTATTGAGGGAAAAAAAAACTTAAACATCTCCATGTCAACAGAGGCCATTCCTAACTGAGCATATCCTAAAAGTCCCTCTGCATGGTAAGCTATATATTTTATTATATACACACAGTAATGTTAAAAAGAAACACCCTTTTTGAATTTTATGGTTTTACATATCGGGACAATTAAAAAAACCATCTGGTTTGAACAACAAAATAAAAACTATTATGCTATGATAATATGTTTTATTTATTTAACAAGAATAAATCCAAAATAAATAAGCCTTTTTAGGTACACTTTCCTAGTACCGGGTTGGACCCCCTTTTGCCTTCAGAACTGTCTTGGTTCTGGAAACATTCCTCAGAGATTTTGGTCCATTTTTTTCATGATATCATCACGCAGTTTCTGCAGATTTGTCGGCTGCACGTCCATGATGAGCATCTCCAGTTCCACCACATCCCGAAGATGCTCTATTGAATTGAGATCTGGTGACTGTGGAGGCCATTTGAGTACAGTGAACACATTGTCAAGAAACCAATTTGAGATTTGTGACCATGGTGCGTTGAAGACGACAGAAGAAGGGTATACCGTGGGCATAAAGGGATGGACATGGCGAAACAACAACACTCAGGTAGGCGCTCTTCTGCAGACTTCAGTTGTAACTAGTGGTCATTTGAGTTACTGTTGCCTGTCTATCAGCTTGAACCAGTCTGGCCATTCTCCTCTGACCTCCTCTGGCATCAACAAGACCTTTTTTTCCCCCATTCGGATGCTCAGATTTTCTTGACCATATCTACAGTACTTGCCTAAATTGAGTTGCTGCCATGTGATTGGCTGATTAGATAGTTGTGTTATTAGGCAATCATTTTTCAAAATGGATTGCATGCTGCTAATACTACCATTACTATTTTTAGGAATACTTATTTCCTCTCCAAGTTTAGACCACTCACCGAGTGGTCTGGGGTGTTCACTGATATGCTCAGACAAAAATCGCTGCAAAAGATGCTTTTCAACAGGTGTTTTACCATACGTTGTAAAACTGCAGCCCTATTTTTCCGAACGCCTCACAACCGTACATTCTTCGGTTGAGAGCTTGAATAATAGACACTCCAGCCCAGTTTATGGCGATAATGCACCTTTGCCAATTGCAAGCAAACCACTTGTATAGTGTAGCCTACGATACCGCATAGAAAAAACTACAATAAAACCTGTTGGAAGGCATCTTTTGCAGCGATTTTTGTGTGAGCACATCAGTGAACACCCCAGACCACTCGGTGAGTTTCACATCTTTGTAAACTAAAGTTTTATGCGTTTTATAAAGGATTGTTCCTGTGCACCTATACAACCATTGTAGAGGTGTGGGGGTGCAACCACAGAAACTGAAAATTCTCGGTACAGCAGCATTTGTCTAAAAAACAATCTTAACCATTCTATTTCATCAGAAACTATCTTAAAACAGGGCTTCAACCAAAATTGTTCTTTAAGTAACACAGATGGCTGTTGATTTTGAGCAATAGAAGAGTTTGCACATAGACATCCCTCCATTAAATTGAATCTGGTGTGCCGTCTTGGCCAGGTCTCCCACGGAAAAGAGACTCCGTCTCAAGGGACTTCCTGGTTAAATAAAGGTTAAATAAAATAAAAAATAAATGAATTAATACAAATTTGAAACTGAAACCAAATGAACACGCATTCGTTTGAATCACTCTCTCACACTAAACATTGCTATCCATTATGCAACAAGAAGACTACTCTAAAATTAAAAGCAGTCCCAGAGTGAACCGTGGTCCAGTCCTGGAACAGTGCCTGATTACAATCTGCATTGTGGACTGAAATATTTTCTCTTCTGTGTTAACAGTTCCCATGGCAGACATGGAGGAGTGTCAGGGTTTCCCAGAGCCTCTTTGCCTCTTTTCTTTTCATTGGGGAACAACGGGGAGAGTTTCTTTCATGATGCTTGGCAAGAGCATAATCTGGCAGTGATGTCACTCCCAAACTCATTGGCTATTGGCTACGGAAGAACGGACTACTCTCGGCCCACAAAGAAGAGAGGCAAAATCAGCTTAAAGCTGAACCGTGGTTGGCCTACAGAAAGAAAAAAAAGGGAGAAGATGAAGGCAAGCATTCATGCTTCCTGACAAATGGCCACAGAGACTTGACATAGACTGAGGGGCTGAATAGACCCCCCATATCCTCACGCTTTTTTTCTCTCTCGCTCAGTCAGTTTGCAGACAAAATTAGTCTACACGGTAGTCTAGGCATTTTGGAAACACCTGTGGTGATCTAAAAGAAACGAAAGCTTTATTTTATTATATAGGTTTTACAATTCAGTTCCTACAGTAAATTAAGCACACAACTAATGCTACTCAATGTAAATGCAGAGGAATCATTCAATACTCATTACAAATGAACATGAAATACTACAAATTCTTTATTATTCAACAGAAAATGCAAAAGTTACTACTTTTGTGTGAAAATGCCATTTGTGATTGAAATATATATTTAAATATAATTTTTCTTCACATTTCATGTGCTCTATACAAAAGCGTTACATTGCCTTAGGAACATTTGCAATTCGCTCACAAAAGCACCGAGAAATAGTTTTTCCTCCTACCTCATATCATTTCCATCACAATGATTTTGCAAGCAACTGCAAACATTTTGGGGAATGCAATTGAAATTGTTGAATACAATTTTACAAGTGCATGCAAACCTGCTGAAAGAAAGCCTAAACTAAGCTGAAACCAGCCTCAGCAGGTTGTAAGCTGGATCCTGGATGTTCATCCTGACGAGCTAAAACTAGTCTCACCAACCCCTCTAAAACCAGCCAGCTAAACTAGCTATAACTGGTAAGACCAGCCAACCAGTTTTTTTCAGCTTGCAGGGAAAATTTTAGCCCAATAAACAATACCGAGTAACATATGCCAGTTATTACTTGTTCTGATTCAATGATTCATTCATTTCTGAATGACTCAATTATTTGATAGCTATATTGCATGGTTGGTTATAGAATAGTACAGATTACTGGAGCATATTTTGGCATAAATTCATCTGTAAATGGTAGAAGAAGCCAAACTGCACCAACATGAATACTGTAGGTTACATGAACCTCAAAAACTATCCAAATATACATGGTGAAGAAAAATGCAACCCAGTTGCTTTCAATAACGGTCCATTTGTGTCTTTACTTTTTCCAATTGCTCCCAATGCAAAACGGTTCTCATCACATTATTTTATTATATTTAAGTGAAGCTGCCTGTCTCAGTGTTTGCCCTGGCAAAACTGCATTGTGATGAGTGGTTAATCATTTGTTTCATTAATCAGAGCAAGTTGCTCATGAGTCTCGTGCTGTTAGGTCAGCCGTGACTCTGTGAATGCAGAGAACAATGGCTCATTACTTTCCACTCCAATTACTGCGCTTTTGTGACTGAAACAGTCCATTCACAATCTGCTTCACTGTTAAACTGAAGCTGTCGTGACAACCATGGGTCACGATAAACCGTCACTGTACAAATCTGGAACACACTGAATCGTGCGAAATATCATTATGAGCATTAGCATCCCGACTATTGCATACAGGGTTATTAAAGGAGTAGTTCACTTTGAAAAAAAAAACTTTTGCTGATAATTCACTCACCCTCATGTCATCCAAGGTGTCCACGTCTTCCTTTCTTCAGTCGAAAATAAATTAAGGTTTTTGATGAAAACATTCCAGAATTTTCTCCATATAATGGACTTCATTGGGAACCAAACGTTTCAAGGTCCAAAAGAGATTCAGTGCAGCTTCAAAGTGCTTTAAACGACACCAGACGATGAATAAGGGTCTTATCTAGGACCCTTTGAGTCATGACTCGAAAAAAGATTTGTCCATTTTGATGAACGAGTTCGAATAGGAGAGTCACGAACGCTCATCATAGAACAGAGCAAGGTGAGCATTTGTGCTTATAAAACTTAATCTTTTTTATTTATTTATGAAATGACCGATCGTTTCGCTTGATAAGACCCTTATTCATCGTCTGGAATCGTTTAAAGCCCTTTGAAGCTGCACTGAAACTCTCATTTGGACCTTGAACCGTTTGGTTCCCATTGAAGTCCATTATATGGAGAAAATCCTGGAATGTTTTCATCAAAAACCTTAATTTCTTTTCAACTGAAGATGACATGGGGGTGAGTAAATGATCAGCAAAAGTTTTTTGAAAAGTGAACTACTCCTTTAACTAATACCATAAAAAAAAATGTTGATTGATTGAAATAAAATAAATTAAACATGAACTGCTGTTTATTTTGTAATTATAGCCTGTATCATATTTGAGTGTATACAAGTGGTTGTGACAAATTTTGGCCAATAACATCACACTATAGTCTATGAAGGATCTGAACATGGTTGGTCAAATTGATCGAATGATGCTCCTACGTAATGACAACACAGATTATAGGATTAACTTTGACCCAGTTGTGGAGAG